CATATACAGAGCACAGTACTGGGCACTCTGGGATGCACTGGGGAGCCTGCCGTGGTCCTGAACTGCAGAGCAGGTGGAGAATTCCCATCAAGTGGCTCAACAGCACACAGCACTAGCTGTGAAGTTCTTAACGGTGTACCAGGACTGTTAAGCTGTCCTAGAGGTGTTAGAGAAGCTGAGGGAAGCTTCTGGGAGAGGTTTCTTAGTTGCAGTGACTTGCAGAGGTGATATAGCCCGGGATTTTGGAGGCTGGTAGGTTTGGTCTTGTGCTGCGGCCGAGGCGTGGGAGTTGTTCCTTTGGGAGGAACACTCTGTGGTCACGTTTGTTACTTCATTTCCCTCTCCCACTTCACCTCATCCAATTTCTGTCCTTGTGCGAAACATGTATTCATTATCCCGGGTATAAAACATACTAGTATTCATTTTTATCGTCATTCCTCTGGTCACGGGTGTCCTGACTGCCATGGCCAGTGCATCCCAGAGTGCCCAGTACTGTGCTCTGTATATGATGGACACTTCAGTGTGATTTGGGCAAGATGCTCTCTGAAAGTGTGCCTGAAAGAGCATCGTGGCGGTGGTTTTTAAGTCAGTGTTGGCTTTCACAGATCATTCCGGGGAAATGGATACTACCCTATACTTCAGCCCTCATCGTTTTTGTTTTTAAAGATTTTATTTGAGAGAGAAGAGACAGCAGGGGGAGAAGCAGGTGGGAGCCCCGCCGTGGGGCTCGATCCCAGGACCCTGGGATCATGACCTGAGCCGAAGGCAGACACTTAACCGACTGAGCCACCCAGGCGCCCCCTTTCAGCCCTCACTTTACTTGATCAACCTGCTGCACGCATACTGTTAAAACGAAAACTCTATTCTCACCTGACTTCCTTCTTGGTTCCCTTGCCACCACTTAAATGCTGGTGATCGTTCTAGCAATGCCTTTGCCCTCTTTTTACTCATGTGATCTCGGTGATCTCCCCAACACAGTGGCTTCAGCTACCATTTTTTGTGGTGAGGTCCTCAAAGTGACCAACCTCCCAGCTTCATCCCCAGAACTCTAGATCCTGCATAGCCAAGTGCCTGCTAGATACCGCCGAAGGCCTCATTCAGGCTCAAACACCGTCCGAACGGAGCTCCTCTTGCTTCCCATTGCCTGACTCCCGTCTACTCAGCTATCCAGCCAGAAGCTTCTTACCCAGCTCCCATCGGTAAACACGCACAACTCTGGGGCATGGCCATTCATCCTACCAGTGCCTTTGTTTCTTGAAGCATCTACTGCAGTGACCCCTTAGCTGACCTCTTTTGTCCCTGGTCCTTCCCCTTTCAAGTCCACTGCCTTCCCTGCTGCCGAAGAAATTCAAGCCTCAGGTCTGACATGTCATTCTCCTGCATAAAACTCTCTTGGGTTCCCAATGGTTTCTAAAAATGAGACCAGACACCTTTGTCTGAGGTAGAGAAGGGTCCTTCCTTACTCTGGCTTCATCTCTGCATCACCCCACCTTCCCTGATAATCATTTCACCTTTGCATCCTTGTTCATATAGTTGAGTTGGCCTGGAATACCTCCTCCCTGCATATTCGTGGATCCAAAACTAGTATTCATTCTTTACAACTTGGTTCATGGATCACTTCTAGAATCCTCTTGTGAACTCTCCTCATGGTAAAAACTGACTACTCCATCCTTTTGGGTTTCCTGAGTGACCTGGACTGTTCATAGATCTCTTTTCCCTGCAAGTATAAAAACCCCTTGGAGAGGAACTGTGTCCTGGTCATTGTGTCCCTGTGGTCATGCAGTGCTTGGCACAGAGTATACTCAGCAGGCCATCTCTTCAGAGTGTGTCCGTAACCTCTGTGCTGATAAAGGCAGGCCTGCTGGGAAGGTGCTGGCCTTGAAGTTGGATCACCAATAAGCTCCCGGGCTAAGTGAGCTGAGGGAACTCAGGAGGCACCTAACTAGAGTTGGGCCAAATCAGAGAGATCAGAGGAGCCAGAAGCTTTACAGCAGTGTTTCCAGGGGACCTGCCTTTCATTCCTGCCATGGCTCCTCACTTGTTTTAAACCAGAACATAAAAGTCGGTGAGTCCTCTTATCTTCCAAACTTATATTTGGCTTTGTGGGGTCCTACTTGGTTGGACTTGAGGATTCAGGTCTTGAATGTAAATTAGCCAGGAACTCAAGAAGGCAGACTATTAGGGTTCTGGAACCTGTGAGTTATAGATAGTAGGGTGGGAAGGGTACACCCAGGCTCAAAGTGATCCTGTGGCCCCGCAGGAAAGGAAGAGGCTCTGTTCCGGGCAATCAATGTGCTGCTGCTTTGGGTCCCTTTTAACATCTTGACTTCCAGTTTTATTTTCTGCTAAAAAAAACCATGGATGCAAATGATAATATTTTATTATAGAAAAAGCATCCCAAATAAAGGATTTCGTAAACACTGGTAGGTGAACAAGTGCAACTTTAAAAGTAAATACAAAGTAAAGAGGCAAAATCTACAAGCATTTTGCCTTTAAGAGAAAATGTAATGTTCTCCTGCAGAGGTGATCCCACCCAGAGCACTGAACGTGGCTCCATCTCCCCCAGGGAAGGCATCAGGTTTGCTTTCTGAACTTGTATGCGCATTTTAACAATTTCAAAATAATGGCAAGAAGTGGCATTGGATAAATTACTAAAACCCCTTGATTCTTAACTTTCTATTGACACTCGATAAAAAAAAGACTCCATATCACACTTTGACAATTTGAGTTAAAGCCTGTGCTGATTGTTTTCTGCAAATATTTCCATCCTTCCTGGGCTTATTCCATTTTCATAGACCTGTATACATTAGATGACATACTGGTTTCTTGGAATTTAGCTTAAAATAATAGTGGCTATTACATATTATGCAGTAAATGTACTTTCTAGCTTCCTTACCATTTTTGCTGCCATCTTTTCAATACTTTTCCTCCACTTTGGAGAAACCATGATCATCTTACCAGACACATGTTAACACTGCCCACTCTTCAGCTCAATGCCAAATGTTTCCCAGTCAGCGACACATGATAATGATGCATTCACAAACTCAGATTCTCAATCTCAAATTCGGGTTCCTCTTGGCTTGCGGAGCTACCTCTGAGTAAGACTGTCTGAGCGAAACATCTTCCTCTGAAGATGGCTCTGTATAAACAGCCTGGCTTACTTATTTAGGCACTTAGAAGAAAAAAAAAAAAACACCACCAAACCTGAGTTCCACCTTTATTAGAAATCTCTCTTGCCACCTGGCCAGTAACAGACTCTGAAGGGAATGACTGCAACCCAGCCCCTGTCCCTGTGGGGACTCAGCAGTCCTGCCATCATGGAATGGCTTGGCCCTGGGGAAGGGGAGCTCAGAAACTGCGGTGAGGCTGAGCTCCAGGCTGGGAGGGTGGTGGGTGCAGAACAAACCTCCCTCTTCACCAGAAGGGACCTGTGGGCCCCACTTTTCCCTTCGTCTCCACCATCTAGTGACACTGGCAGATTAACCTGTACGGGTTTCCAGCTCACTCACCCCATGGGTTGGGACCAAAAGCACATTAACCCAATTGGGGGGCGGGGGAGAGACGTACTTCTTGAAAGCCCGAGGAAATTAATCATTTACATAGAATAGAGTGCTAAGTCCATGCCATACTTTCATACTTAGCTTTTTACCTAAGCAAGGACTAATTGGTTTTAGAGGGTTAGCTGCAGCATGTTCACACTTAGATGTTCATACGGAAGATGGGAGAACAGACGTTATACTTACTAGACTAACACAGTTCATTCAGATTTCCTTTGTGATGGCATGGGAGGAAGTCAATTGAGAAACAGAAAAGAAGCACCATTAAACGATTATCTGGGTTGGTCAACTACCAGCGGGTATGAATGAAATACTGGCATGGTCAAAGCCAAACCTGACCTCAAATAGGAGTCAAGGAGCTTCACAGACATAAAAGTGCCCTCTGGCTACAAAAAAAACCTTCACCCTAAACTTTAACCATCAGCCTTACAAGTTGGATGCCAGTGGTAGTCAGAAGAATTCTCTAAGTGGGAGATGGCTCAGTTTAACCCCTTACTACTACTATTTTCTGAGTAATGAACGGAGTACTGATTTCCACTGTGATGCTGGTCACATGCACAGAGAACACACTTAAGAACATTCTTGTTCTTCAAGCCTGGAAAGAACAGCTTTCGACACCCATCTGACTTTACCCTTGGAGGACTACAACTAGGGCAGTCAAAATGGAGTCACCTAGCTTGCTCTATGGTATCTTACGGGAATGGAATTTAAGAAAACTAGTCATGTTTCCTTAAAGAACTTGAAGGAAACTATGTACCTCTTTGAAATCTGTGATGGGTAAAGGCTCTGGGTAGGTGATTAGAATGCCAACTTTATCATAAAATGGGAGATTATCCCCAGACACTTAACATCTGGCTCTAGACTCTAAATTTAGTTCTGCTGTTAATAGCCATGAGGACACGAGGGAAAATGGTTCAGTACTGGGAGGAGTGATCTGGGTTCACACACAACATGCATTATTAACACAGAGCCGACAAGATCAAACAAAATTACTAGGCCTAATACCCCTTTCAACTCATCTATCCTTTGGGGATGACAGTAGTATGGTTTTCTAACCCAGTGATAGGCTACTTCAAAAACAAATATCCTGATATCCAAAAAAAATTCCATAGTATGAAAAGAATATACAAAGAAAAATCCTGCACTGGGACAAAGCCGGGGCAGGTGACATTTCCCCACCCAGCTTTACCCCAAATGCCCCCTTCCCTGGAGCTCTTCGAAGTCTTTCTATTGAGAAACAGAGCACTTGTGAGAAATTTCTGCCTGTCTATTAAAAGCCTTTCAGCCATATCATCTAAGGTTTCCCAGCCACACTCACAGCAGTGTGCTGCCTAGGGTGAAGACCTACGGCTTCACACCAGATTCCAAGCCAGGATAATCAAAGTGGCCTGATCTGGACAGGTTCTTCTACTTGAGTTGTGAATTTCATTCCAAATGATTTCTTTAGACCCAAAAACCTTGAACCTAAAAAGGTTTCATAAACATTGTTACATTATTCTTGGACTTCAGTCGAATCTGTGCGGTTTTGAACTATTCATTGCATTAATGAAAAAACTGAATTTAAACTCTTAAGAAATCTCCTTTTGGACGTTTTGAAGAGAGCCTAGTTCTTCCCAGATGCAGGTCTGGGCACAGAGGCTACCAGGAATGGCATCTTCACTGAACCCTAATGAGAATCCCATTAGCGCCTGCTTGTGGAAGCTAGAGATTGTCTTTTTTTAAGGCTTGGTCCCTTTGCTGCTACGTAATTTGCCTGGTATAAAACAAACAAACGAAAAAGCCGAGGACAGAGTACCAAGGATGGGAGGACTGCTTTGATGAATATGAGCCAATGGGAGTCGACTTCCTTTCCTACTTTTTGCAGTCATGCAAAGACTCTGTAAACGGCACCAGATCCACATTTTTCAAGTTACCAGGGCTGCTGCAAAGCTGGTAGCTTATTTGCCAGTGAGTGCTTTTTTATCCCCTGCCGGAGGCACAGACTTTTCAGTAATGAAAAGGACACACGCTAATTGTAGGAGAAAGGGAAAGGATGGAGAAGCAGGTCTCCTGATACTCGGGGAGACAAACCAAGGGGAGAACTGGCTGTGGGCATCGCAGACCAAGAAGGGCTCTGAAGAGACACGGGTCCACAGCTGGCCCTAATCCTGAAAGTCGTTAGATGCCATCTGAGAAAGTGGGGCATTCAGCCGGTCGAGTTCATCCACCTGGGGTGGGTGGTGCATTACTATCTCCTGGTCCTCTAAGACATCTTCTCCGGCAGCTACCAGATTAGTGAGGGATTTGCTTCGGACACACTGGAAATCCACATGGCGACTCTTCCCTTCTTCCTTTTCCCAGGACATCTGGATAAAGGGGCGCTGCACATAGTTATAGATTACTTCAGACCGGCCACCGGGTCTTCTCTTAATTTTTTCTTTACAGGTAGGGTAACCTAAAACAGAAAAAGGCCATTCTCATGACTCCAGGAAATTGCCCACTCTAGAGTCCACACTTTCTCTTCTCTAACCACATTAATTTCCTCCCAAATTCAAAGGCTGGGGAAATGACCTCTGACCATGCCCTGCCACTCCCACCCACCTACGTGCTCACTTCCCACCTATCCAGGTTAGTAGGTCTTGTCCCTGGAAGGGAAGTAACAAAAATTCTCTCTCTTCTAATGGCAGGGCGGGAATAGCCTCTTAGTAATTTCAGAAGCCTGTACTTACTGGCAACAATGCCACAGAACAAAAATCCTGCTAGGCCATGGTGAACTCCAGTCTCTAATTCTAGTGCTTATCTCATACTGTAGGAGAAGTGGTTAAAAAAGTGTGTAATGTGTAGCCCAAAGAAAAAAAAAAAAAAAACAGGGAAGTTGCCTGAAATATCTGAAAGGCTATCACATGGGAATGGGAGAAATCTTAGAGTAGCTTCAGAGGCTAGAACTGGAAGGAAGACTGAAGAGAGAGTAAGTTATCTACTAGATATATGGAAGAATGTTCTAATGGTAGGACAGTCTGATGGGATGCTGGGAAATGGAGTAATCCTTGTCACCTTGTTCCTGGGGTTTCCAGTGACAAAGGAGGGACACAGTGGAAACAGGTTTAATAGACCTCAAAAATCTCTTCCCACCTGAAATTCCAACCTAAGTCAGACGCAGTGAAGATTGATGGGCTCTGCAGGCAAGACCGAGATAGCAAGCACAGCAAAACTCAAGAGTCAAAGACTCATGGAGGGGAGACCAGGATGGCTTCAGCATTCTCGAAGAATCAGTGTCTAAGACCTTTCTATGGAGACCACAGGTTGGGAGCCATTTGCTCAAGATCACTTCAAACCATTCTATCAATACACACAGACATTCGTCAAAGGTATGTAGTGGAATTAAATCAAATTTTGAGTCTCCAAGCTATAATTTTCAGAAGGAATATTATACTTCAGATATATAATGGGCCTATATATAGATATATATCTATACAGATATATATAGGATCCCAAAAAGATCTTCACCAAGACTGTTGGTGGAATGACTCTCCCACTTGGTGAGCCCACGGGCCCTGCTCCACAACCACCCCCCCCGCCCCCGTGTCCTTAGCCCTCACTGCTCTTTGTCCCGAAGCAGTACACCGGAACTTATTCCTACAGCTGCTTTAAGTAAGCATTTATGACTGGAAATAAAACGAAAAGGAAATACAAGGATTAAAAAAAAAACAAAACCAGGAATCCCTCACACGGGTAGGAATGTAGTTTTCATGTGTGCCTATTCTCTATGTCCTCTGGAAGCCGGGTTTTAAGGACACAAGCTGTGCCCATAGATAAGACCTACTCCATGAGCCATGCAAGCTGAATACTAATGGGGATATTTATTACCTTCAATTCCAATGCGAATATTTTTCAGGCCTCGCTCCTTTAACACTGTTTTAGCGACATCACGATTCTCAATATATTTGAAGAATCTATAGAGCTTGGAGCTATAAAGAACTGGAAAAAGAAAAATTGAGTTAATCATGGAGTAAAGACTTCTAAAAGAGGAGGGAGATGAGCTAACAGAATCAGACTGATGAAAGGTATACCTGACTCTGACGCCAAAAAAAAAGATCCAGTTGGATCACAGATTAAATGTAAAGTAATAGATCAAACATAAGAAAGAAACCACATGAGAAATTTTTATAGTCTCAGGTGTACATAAAACCCAGAAGCCATAATATAAAAACTGACACATTCAACTACTTAAAAATACAACATCTCTGCTTAGCTAAAACCACTGTAACAAAGCTAAAAACAAAAACAAAAAAACAAAAGTCAACTGGGAAAAATACCTGCAACTCACATTACAAAAGGCTAATTTCCTTAATATTTATAGAAAGAGTGGTCAGAAATAGCCTTCACAAATCACTAAAAGACAATCCAATTCTGTAATGGGCAAAAGGCACAAATAAAGCTACAGAAAAGGAAATTAAAAGGCTCTTAAAAATTAAAAAGATAGTGAGTGTTGATCATGAAATGAGAAATGCAAATGAAAACATAAATGCGATGCTATTTTTTACCTATCAGTGTGACAAAGATAAAAGTTTAGTAAAACACTGTTTTGGTGAGGGTGTGGAAAACAAACCTGCCACATACTGTTTTGTGAGTGTAATATGGAGGAGAATTCGGCAACATTTATCAAAATTATAAAGGAACAAAGCTTTGGCACAGAAATTCCATTTCTAGGAATATTATTCTATAGAGATACACATGTGTGAAAAAGACTCCGTTTAAAAGGCTATTTATTGCAGCATCATTCACAATTTATAGTTTAAATGTCCAACAACAGAGCTAGTTAATTCCGTCCTGGCACAGTTGTGCAGTGGAACACTAGACAGCCATTAAAAAGATCGCGGAAGCTTTTTATGTAAGACACGGTGCTGAACAGTCTGTAGACTATGGAAGCATTTGAAAAAAAGGAAAAACCATGGATGTAATTGCTTATGTATGTGCACTGAATACGACTGAAGGATATAAAAGAAGCTGAGGAGGAAAACCGGGTGGATGAGGCAGGGATGGGATCAAGACTCTTCAATGTATATCCATCCTTTTGTACCTTCTGAATTGGTACATTCATTAAAAATGGAACCAGCGGAGAGAAGAGTGACACCACCATTAAATGGCCTCAATCTGGCCTCTGTCTCACCACAGTATCTGACACCAGGGGCAGCAGCAGGAGGTGTGACAATGTTACACACTCAGCAGAGACCTCAGCCCTGCATCCCATGCCCTGGTCATCCAGGTGAGTGTGCTCCTTGCCAGCTCAACAGTGACATTCACGTTGCTTCCAGGATCTAACTGCTACTGTGGGCAGCACGTCTGGTGCGGAAAGCATCTACACCATGCGGGGGGCTCCTACTTTGGGAATACTCCTCCCCCATGGGAGGGGGGTGGTCTTCATCCCAGTCCACAGAATCCTCATCCGTCAGCACAACGATGTGGCACTCTCGCTCCCCTTTCTTGGCACAGCCCACCATGATGGGCAAGATCAGTTCTTCGAGGTAGTGGTCAAACTGCTTGTGAGCACCATCGTTAGACAGTTCATGCAGTAAAGCACCTGGGGAGAGAAGCTGTAGGTGAACATCCTCTCCGGCCGAATGCAGATATTACTGGAGAGGAAAAGACTATGAGGTGATGGCTGTTATCACTGAGAAGTTCCAGAGAGGTGGCCCATAAAGGCAGAAAATGGTTTCTTGCTCCGAGGCGCTAATTAAGCTGATTTTGTTAGATATGTTGCATGTTTTACCACTCCTTAACTTCCTCATGTTTGTTTATTATTTATTTTATTATCGGCGGGGGGGAGGGACAGAGGGAGACAGAGAGAGAATCCCAAGCAGGTTCCATGCCCAGCGTGGAGCTGATGTGGGGCTCGATCCCATGACCCCGAAATCATGACCTGAACAGGAACCAAGTCAGATGCTTAACCAACTGAGCCACCCAGGTGCCCCCCTCATGTTTAATAATCCCTGAGCATTTTGACCAACTGAGGTTTTGTTAGCTATACCATGTCAAACCACACACATTAATTCTACAAGAGAAAGAACCATCATTTGTAGTACCTCTTCTGAAGATGCTCTGGACCCCAATTTCGTGGAGTTATGGTACCACAGAAGAGGGATCATCTGAAGTTTGAGGACACCAAGGGACTTGCTCTAAGTGTGCGCTAGACCCAGTAGAGAAACCACAAGTCTAGAGAACTTCATGGAATATGCAGGGAAATGTATCGTGAACCTCAAAGAATAATTTTTTAAATAATTTCAGGAAGCCTAGGTGTTAATAAGAGAATGGTGTTTGTAGTCAATCAGCTCTAATCCCAGCTTTTTAGAGCTTTGAACAAGTCAATTTCTCAGTCTTCTCATTTGTTAAATGGGGTTATCACCTGACTTGCTAGGGCTCACACTGTTGCAAGAATTAAGCAAGTTCATATCTAGAAAGCACTTAGTAAACACAAAGTTAATAATAACGGTAAAAATGATTCTAAGAACCACCCAGCCAATTTACGCTGTTTGACTCTATGATGGAAGGCTCACTCATGTCCAAGAATCAGTATCCTTATTTATTAGTTGAGACACCAAGGTCCCAAGAGGGTAAGTGATTAGCTCGGTGCCTCACTGGACAAGCTAGATTCAGAACCCACCATGCATTCTCTTTGGTTTACTCCACTTCCTCACAGTGCTGTGAAGCCGGAGAGGGAATAGGTTAGTATCACGTCTCTGCCTCTGCAAATGATTTTCAGCCCACACTTGAAACTCTTCTTTAGTGATTAAAAAAAAAATCAGTCAATTCCAAGCAAACTCAAAGTTCAGCTGCTCAAATGCAGGTAATAGGTTATCTGTAACTTACTCAGATCTTGACATCGGATAGTGTTGAAGTCAAAGTTAATGCAGAGATAATCGCATGTATCTCTAAGGTCTGGAATAGAGATGCCATCAGGACAATTGATGATACCAGTTTTGTAATAATCCTGTAAATGGATTAAAAAGAAGAAATGTAGGCAAAGAACCAAGATGAAAAGTGACCTCTTCAACCCCCTATCCATTCCTGGTTCTGTTAAAATGGTAGCTTACTAGAACTACCACCAAGTTGGCTGACTTGTCAGCTGGCAAAGTGGCTCCTGGCTCTCCTGGCATGCTCAGTCACACCTTGATAGCTGATTGAGCTCACACAAACAAGAAGTACTTCAAAGTTACAGGAATAGAAAGTAGAGGGAAAGGGAACTGGGAACCAGAGACCCTAAAGCCAGTAACAGTTTGATGGAACTCCTGAGGCTTCTGCCTATGCCTGCCCCTGGGGAAAAGGATGCAACAAGGCTCTTACACACCAGCACTGTTCGAAATACAGTTGCACTGATTCCTTCAGCAATCTCATACTCTCCCTTCTCGTTGGGCCGAGTGAAGTTGTACTCTCTTCCTGGTCCAAACATTCTGAAAGACATCAGGCAACAATGTTAATCTTTTCCAGTCCAGCGGGATTCTTCACGCACGAGGACTGCTCCCCTCTTCACCTCATTCTGGAAGACTCCATTCCATGTTCTCATAGTATAAACTGAAAACACAGCAGTGGGACCCAACTCCTAAGAAGCAGCTCCCTCCAGACAGAAAAGGTGGTAGTGATTGCTTGCAGCGTTTGAGAGCAAGGAGAAATGAAGCAGCAAGTCCTCAAGGATCACGGGTGGTAAGCTTCTGTCACAGCAAATGAAGTAAAGCAGCATCTGCAGAGTTGGCCCTTGGAAAATCTCTGGCATGTGTGAAGGTTGCCTCTCACGCCCTCCCCACTGCCCAGGGATATGCCGGCAGCTCAGGAAGCCCGTGCATCTCCTGCTCCTGACCCTTCCTGGTCCTTTCCCTCCTCCTTACTTATCTAGCGTCAGTCCTCAGTAGTTCTGAGTTTTGCTTTTCAACATCTAATGTGATAGATGGATCTATACTGGTGGGTGCAGATGTTACTGTTCTCCCTTTCCTGGTACATTTTAATGCTGGAGCTCTGGGGAAAATGCCCTTCTTCAATCCAAGGAGTAACTCTAATGATAGGAACTTCAGGTCAAGTAGACAGGGATGGGAGGTATTAGGCTTCTCAGTGGTTTGACATAGTTTAGAGAGGCAAGCCTGCTCTGTGCATGAACTCAGAGGTCAGGAGCGCACAGGGAGATCTTGCTTTTCCTTACTCACCTTCTCCCATCCTTCCTTCCTCCCTCTCAGATCCCCTCCAGTAAAACTGGCCCCTTGACTTCCACCACTCCTGTTGCACGTCTGAGCTGTGGAATGGGAAACCAGTGTGAGGGACGGGGCAGGCAGTCAGGATCTTCAGCCAGCCGGATTTAAGTTCCCAATGGCGCCTCACTGTCATTTCCTTTCTTAACCTGCTGGGAAGCCCTGCTGTTCAATGTTAAAACTGTTATCCTCCACCCTAAATTGGCTGCTTTTCAAAGGTCTGAAAAAGATTCCAAATCACATACTTTCCAAACCACTAACACCATATATAAGAAATCCATCCTGATAAAAGTGTCTTCAAAGAATGCTGACATTTTTCTGGAACGTTCTGGTTAAAGTCTAGCCAAGACAGTTATGAATCAAAATAGTGAACAACATGCCATGTAATGCCACCCCCTCCAACCCCTTAACTATCATCAGCAAGACCTAAGCTCAGAGTTATTTATCTGGTAGTGGTATGGATTAACATTAATCCATTTGCAATCTCTCAGCTTGTCCCCCTTGTGACTAGTGGCCCACATTTTTTAGCTCACTGCCTAGGCTTACCAACACTGTATGTAACCTCAGGACAGTGCAAACCTAAGTAACTCTCAGAACTGATAACCTCAGCTGATAAACCACCTAGATAAAGAATCAGACACTCTTGCCATGGGACAACTCATTCCTAGATTCAAAGAAAGAGGGTTACCCAAGAATTAATCTGTCACCCAGAAAATGCTTGCCTTTCTTCTCGTGATCACTGTCAGAGGCAATCTACCTCAAAGAGCCAGTCAGCAACGAGGGAACACTGTTTTGGGGTGTGCGTGTGGTGGGGGGGGCAGTGGTAGCAACACCAAGACTAAGGACAGGAAGTCAAGTCTGATAAAATGTAGGGCCAGTCTGGAAAATGTTTTAATGTTCTAGTCTTAATTCAGATGTTTGAGAAATATATAGGTTTCTTTATAGTTAAAAATGGTTCATCATGAATCTGCATGTGTATGTTCAAATATAAATATATTTGAATAGCTGGATTACATTTAGCCTAAAATTCAACAAATGAGTGTGGTCCATTCTGATTTCTAAATCAGTTCAAATTAGGTCGAAGTCCTGAGTGAGGTTAGATCTTTAAGATCTACTTCCAAGTAGATGAAAATCCTCAAAAGCCAAATGTCTATGTGTGTATACACATACATCATCATCATTATCATTATTATTATTTTTACTCTTATCCCAATTTGCTCTTCCTCCTGTTAAGGTCTATGGTTGGCCAGAAGGAGAACCTCCTAACTCCCAGTCCAGGCTCCATCCCAATTTGCTCTTCCTCATGTTAAGGTCTATGGTTGGCCAGAAGGAGAACCTCCTAACTCCCAGTCCAGGCTCCAAGAACACTTTCTGGCCAGTGCTCCTCCTTGGCAGGCTCTTCCATTTCCTAAACTCTACCCCTAAAATGCTGGAGGCAGGAGATGAGGAGAGGAGGGTAAGACTGTGGTCTTCAGTTAAGCAGCACAGAGAATGGAACATGAAGAAAAGAGAGAGCAGTCAAGACACAGTACAACAGCCAGATAGAAAGATTCAGTTTTGGAAAACTTGAATAGAGATGGAGGCATCAGAAAATGACAGCCTGACACCCGCTGCCAAGCAGAGCGGGCAACGGACAGCAGCCAAAAGGCTTTCCTGTAAAACAGTTTTGCTGTTGTGTCATGTGGAACACGTGTCTAATTCTATTTTTTATTAAAAGACAAAAGAAAAAAAAACCCCACAACTTAGATCTTCCCTTAACCCTGTCTTTGACCTGTGGAGCTCAAGACAAGATTACTTTTGTGAGGGTGTATGAATTATGGCTAAGAGAGATGAGGTGTGTGACTTCTGTTTCAGAGGGAGAGGGAAGGATATTCAGCAGATTATTTTCCATAGTTCTGAATGCACTCTCCTTTGTGGGGGCCCATTTTACTGTACTGGCTTTGTAAATAAATTAAGTACATCCCCCAAATCATCAACACATATAAGGCTTTGTATAAGCTTGCCCTCCCTGTCTCACAAAGTTGTGAAGGTAGAAAAATAAGCAATGCAGGGCTTCTTTTCCTCACATCTAGTGCAAGATAAACAGCAGATATTGCTATTCATAGAGAACAGAGTGAATTTGGAAGGAAATTATCATCAATTACCTTCCCAACATGGTATCCGGATGAGCAGTGAAAATTTGTGGATTCACAACAAAACGTGTGCCATCTACAAGAAGTGTCACTTTCTCTGGCGCCTGGGAATGAACGTTACTGCCAAAGCCCACAGTGCTGTTTCCAAATCGTTCTGGAGCCATAAAGGGTTCATGGTTCCGTTTATTCCCATTTTGGAAGCAGGAGCCTTTGACGTCTTCGGGAAGTGGCATTATGTGAGGGAACTGAAGATTTGCTGGCTGGGAGGCATAGTCAAGTGAAAGGTCTAAAAGATCATACAAACAAACCAAAATAACTTGACAGCAAAAAGGCTTGGTGGGGGGGCGGGAATAAACCTCATCTCTTTAAAAAAACAACAAGAAAATCCTCAAACTTTTAGGTGTTCACAGGCAAAAAACTCTTGCCTTGAACAAGTAAAGGAAAAATAGGCTAGAGACTCATACTGGATCCCCCTGAGCTTTTTTCCAGGTTTGCATGGTGGGGAGGAGAGAAGGAAGGCAATAATGCCCACACTTTAAAATGATTTAAAAATTTTATGGGGCGCCTGGGTGGCTCAGTCGTTGGGCGTCTGCCTTCGGCTCAGGTCATGATCCCAGGATCCTGGGATGGAGCCCCACGTCGGGCTTCCTGCTCCGCGGAAAGCCTGCTTCTCCCTCTCTCGCTCCCCCTGCTTGTGTTTCCTCTCTCGCTGTGTCCCTCTCTGTCAAATAAATAAATAAAATCTTTAAAAAAATAAAATAAAATAAAATGATTTAAAAATTTTAAAGTAAATTATATGCATGGCTTAAAAAAATTTAAACAGTAGAGAATTTCTGTGGACAACCAGCAAGGCCCTGCCAGACTCCCTGCCCTCCCCGGTCTTGTTTCACAGAGGAAATCACTTTTTACTTCTGTTTCCACTTCTAGCTCTAAATAATACTCTTGTAGTTCCTGTGTTATATTTAAGGAACCTGCTACCTCTGGGTGCTGAAACTATTCCTTTTCCACATCCTTTTAAAATTTCCACATGTTTCTAAAGTTTATTTCCCCAGAAGGGATGACAGTCTCTAATTGTCTAATGCATTACTTTTCCTAGAAATTCACATAAAAATGCATTTTCACTATGCCCTGGAGAATCCTACCATCACCAGCACCATTTTTTGAAGAGGCAGGGCTTGCCCTCAGCAGAAAGGTTCCAATGTAAGTGGCTTTGGGTTAGGATTCCTTCACAGAACCTGTTTTTGTCCTAGTATCACCAAGGAGCCGTTTTCCTTAAGCAATTTATTCAATTTTCTAAACCTTGTTAGGTTCTGTAAAATGAGAATCATGTTCACTCCTCCTCCCTCACAGGATTCTTCTATCAACTGAAATAAAGTATGTGAGAGCACTTCAAAGTGTGCTCATACCATATCATGCAAAAAAGGTTTAAAACTAAATATCTGAAATCTGGATGTATGCAGAAGACAATTTGGGGGAAAATATTTATAAAAGTATTATCATAGGATTCTTTCAAATTGGCAGTTCTAATATATTTTAATGTAAAAAAAAGTCTCTTTTATGAAAAATTTCAAACATACCAAAGTTAACACAATATGCATATCCCGCCACCTAGATCTGACAAGCTTAATTAAATTTTCTACATTTTCTTGTCTTTTTTTTTGAAAAAAGTAAAAGGTTATAGATACAACAGAATATCTGACTCCCATTCTGCACGTATTTTAAGTCTGTATACAATAATTCATGAACATGATCACTGCCCATCACTTGTGGGAAATGAGCCTGACTTTGGGCCCTTAGATAAATTGTGACCTAGAGTACACTCACTTTTCTTTCCCGTTTGCTTCTAGAGAAAAGGAAACCAAAATCTCGACCAAACGCTTATTGAGGGTTCACATCCTACAATTTTTGACAGATTTTCAGTGTGGCCCTGTTCTGTTTGCACAACAAGAGCTAAGCTTCCACACAATCCACAGGCAAGCTTCTAGCAAAGAAACGCTTTCATCACCAAGATGGGCTTTCACAAAGTGCTGTTCTAAAAAATGAAAGTAGGTACCTACATCACAAATTCAGGATGCTTGATTCCCCACCCTCACCCCCCCATAGCAATGAAGCAATTCAGGTGGGCTGATTGCTGAAGGGCGCCTCAAATCCCAGGAAGCATACATGGGTGAGCAGGAAGGGGGACTCCGTGCGTAAACTCTCCCTAATGGCACACGCTAGGATGGCAGGCACACCCTGCTCCTCTGCCAGTGGATGCATCTAGAATAGCACAGCCTGGTCAGAAAGACGTGGGTTCAAATGGCAGCCGCCTACCTCCTAGCGGAGTGGGCCTGAGTACGTTCTGTAAGCTTCCGAAGCTTCCTTTCCTCATCTGCACAAGGAAGAGGACTCTAAGCAGGGATCGGCACACTTTCGATAAAAGGCCAGAAAGTTCTGTGGGTCACAGTCTATGCCACTGTAGCAGGAAAGCAGCCAAAGCCCCTATGTAAACAAATGGGCATGATGGCTGCATTTTAAAACTTTATTTACAAAAACAGGCAGTGGTTTGGATTTGGCCACAGTTTGCCATTCTTTATCCAAAAACATGTATGTAAAGTTCCTAGCATGGTGAGTGCTCAATAAACAGTAACTGCTATTATTAGTGTTGCCGCTGCCTTTATTCAAAGTTAAAAAGAACCGGACAGTTTATCAAGAGCCTGCACATCCATTAACTCCAAAGTCTCCCAGTCGCGTGAAGTAAGAAGAATATTAATATTCCCCTTTTCCAAATTAAGAAAGCAGGGCTCAGAAAGATTAAGGAGCTCATCCACGGTTACAGATGATAAGCAGCTGAGCTAGAATCTGAATCTGTCTTCTGACTCCAGATCCAGGACTGTTGTTCTCACACTGTTACCGCCGAGTTAGATGTGCAGGACTGACTGAGTCAGGGGGCTGTCTGTGGCGGGCAGCCTTAGGTAACTGTGACATGTGAGCTAAGCCAATCAGCTGGAGATGTTATTTATGCCGCTGGGTAGAGTGGATGCTCTCGGGTCAGCAAGCCCTCCGAATTAAGTCAAGATCTAACCATCGTACCATCGCTCCTGGGACCTAGAGGGTAAGCGAGACTCTGAAGAGCGGAAGCAGTCAGGCTATTTGTTTCTCTCTCTTGGGCCGCAGCTGCAGGGTCATCGCTTAGGCAGCTCGCCTCCTGCCGCAGTACCCTGTCGCTCTCACCGCCGCGGTGAACGTTCATCCTTGGGTTCTGGATCCTGAACTGTCTGCTGGACCAGAAAAAAAAGCCTGGAAGACAGGAATGTGCAGGATTTAGAAAGCTCTCCACACAGGTTTCCAAGGACTTTAAGGCATGAAAGCCGAGCTGGAGAACTCACAGACGGCTCGCATTCTTGTTCGGAGAAGAAATGACATCTTAAACTTATTTCTGTGATTTTATGCTGGGAGGAACTGGTCTTATTTAAATGGTCTTTACCACATCACTAACAATGTAAGAATGTTGATCAACTTGTTATTTGAGAATAATTTTAAGCCGTATCCAAAACCAGACATCAAATCCACAATTTTGGCCACAATCATGATCAGTTCTCTAAGTTAAATGGTAGTGCAGTATTTGGTGTTGTTTAGATCACCAAAAGAAGGGAAGAATCCAACGGGTCAATTAAAGAAAATCTGCCCATATATTAAAAATAATCGAGACACATGTGTTCCTGCAACAATTAAGCACTAGGAAATGAAAACTGTCAACAACCATAATGCTCATGTAAGAGTTGAAACAAGAAGTCACCTGCACTAAACACACACACACAAAAACAAAATTGGACTTACAGTGCTCAAGTTCCTTTTTATAAGTTCTCTTTCACTTTCTGTACCTTATGCTCAACCCCAGGCCCCACCTCAAAATTACAACAAGACATCATTGGCTAGAAGGCTAACTCTCGCCCAGGCAGTACAGTCATGTAGGGAACACAAAACAAGCTACCGCCTCGTGCCAGGCAAATGCTTATTTCTGAAGAAAACAAGATAATTACATTGGGCAGAATGGGGAGGGGGGGTCTATGTGAGAAGCTTCATACCTTTCTTCCAGGTAATCATGCCCTGCAACCCTTCCATCCTTGGGGGATGCCCAACTATCTGAAATATTCCTGAAGTTCACCCTACTTATTAGCACTTTCAGTTTCTACTGTACTGATTTCCACTTGGTATTCTGGTGGAAGAATCATCTTACGTCACCACCAATTTTTATGCAAATGGTTGCATGCTAACACCATTTCAGGAACAAATTAGGTCACTAAGGGCAGGAACACGTAGCATGTAGAGGTTAAAACAGATCCCTAGCAACTGGCAAAGTCAAATAAAACCACCACTGCCCTCAGGTTTGATTCAGAAGATGTCAAAATCAGGTCTACAGAACAGGATAAGAAAAAGATCCATGGAACTGGAAAGAGCTTACTGCCAACATATTGCCAACATTGGAAAGACCAAAAGGGGGTCTGCTTCTTTAAGCTTAACTGGCTCTGAACGACAATGTTTCACTTAACCTATAGATACACTCATCACTAGGATTAATGCTTAGTGGCACACACTAAGAAATCACCTAATGCAACATTTCCCAAAGTCTTCTACGAATTAATTCCTCTATAATCCTAAAAGGACAGAACAAAACTCTCTTAAACTTTGAAACCTAAAAAGTTAACTCACTGACACCAAATTCTTCCACATACACCAGAGCAGCCAGTTTAAACATAATACCACTCCCCTTCCAGGATGAGGCTTTCATTCAACTTTGAACGTGTATTTTCACTGCCAACCATGGTTCAGTTCTGTAACCATCCCCCAAATGGATCGTGGTCCTCAGAACAGATCTAAGGAAAACGAAAAAGAAAAAAGAAAACCAAAAGCAAGCACTTCAACGATACAGTCTCTATTGCTACAAAACTATCTTTGGCCAAAACGCAGTCCTAACGGTCATAGCAACATTTGATTAAGAAACCAAAGGACTGGGCGCCTGGGTGGCTCAGTTGTTAAGCGTCTGCCTTCAGCTCAGGTCATGATCCCAGGGTCCTGGGATCGCGTCCCACATCGGGCTCCCTGCTCAAGGGGAAGCCTGCTTCTCCCTCTCCCACTCCCCCTGCTTGTGTTCCCTCTCTCGCTGTCTCTGTTGAAAAATAAATAAAACCTTAAAAAAAAAAAAAAAAGAAACCAAAGGATTGTGCTGCCCCTAGCACACTGAACAGTAGCTGAAGAGACTGCTTCAGGCAAGGATGAGGCGTCAGAAATACATTAATGGAGCTCAGACTATATGGCCATTAAGAAAACTTAACATCTAGCAAGCAGCTCGAGCTTCACTTCCACACAGTATGTGCAAGCATTTTTATACACTCTAAAAAGCCACACAAATATATTTTTTTATTTCACAGGCCTCCCACGAAGGCTCATATTTTGTTAAGTCATGATTTTGCGGACCTGGAATAGCAAAACCCCTTAGCATCATAATAATCATAATCTCCCATCTTGGAAAATTTATACACAATCTTTGCTAGTGGAATTATCTCGGAGACATATTGTACCTAAAAACACACACTGGTTTCTCCCCAAAACATAATCATCTTGAGTATTAATCCAAAATAACCTCTAGTTATAATAAACCTATATATTTTCTTCTTACTTGCAATTTCCTCTAATCAATTATTTCTGAAGAAAACAAGATAATTACATGGATCACTGTGCCATTAAGTACAATATCTTGCACTGAACTATTCAGATTTTTAAAATCTAGTTGTAATGGGGTTAGGGGCAAACAACCCTAACATGAATGTATCTCAAAAGCATAATGCCTTCAGACTGTTAAGGGTACAAGGGTTATGATCTTTTATTTATTCTTTTAAAAAGATTTTATTTGTTCATTTGAGACAGAGAGTATGAGCAGGGAGGGGGCAGAAGAGGAGGGAGAAGTAGACCTCCTGCTGAGCAGGGAGCCCAACACGGGGCTGGATCCCAGGACCCCGAGAAGGGTATGATCTTTTAAAAGGCAGTTATCCGGGCGCCTGGGTGGCTCAGTTGGTTAAGCGACTGCCTTCAGCTCAGGTCATGATCCTGGAGTCCCGGGATCGAGTCCCACATCGGACTCCCTGCTCAGTGGGGAGTCTGCTTCTCCCTCTGACCCTCCCCCCCTCATGCTCTCTCTCTAATAAATAAAATCTTTAAAAAAAAAATAAAAAAATAAAAGGGAGTTACCCCCCCCTTTTTTTTTTACTTCAGAGTAAGCTGGGTGGTGAAGATGAGGTAGGAGGTCACAGAATTTGGTAAATAAACCAGTCTACCCTTCATCTATACTCCATAACTAGATTTAGAAAGTAATTACATCGGGGCACCTGGGTGGCTCAGTCATTAAGCGTCTGCCTTCGGCTCAGGTCATGATCCCAGGGTCCTGGGATCGAGCCCCGCATCGGGCTCCCTGCTCAGCGGGGAGTCTGCTTCTCCCTCTGCCACTCCCCCTGCTTGTGTTCCCTCTCTCGCTGTCAAATAAATAAATAAAATCTTTAAAAAAAAAAAAATTACATCTTTGCCTAACCTTCATGCCAAACAAATCCCAGTCTTTTCAGTCTGTTCTTATATGAAAACCACATTTCTTTGACTGTTTTAATCACCTATCATGGACTTTGGTCTAGTTCCATTATGCTTTATTTATGCATAGTAATGAGAACTCTACTAATGTTTTCTATTAAAGGTGAACAGGTTTTCCATTTTGCTTCACACATATTCTCTGATAATACCAGGATTTCTGGCAATTGGTTAAAAAGGGGTAATAGTGGGGGTGGGGAGAGACAACAGAGATGAAAGATATAATCTAAAATGTCTACATGAGGGGCGCCTGGGTGGCTCAGTCAGTGAAGCGTCAGACTCTTGATTTTGGCTCAGGTCATGATCTCAGGGCCATGGAATAGAGCCATGTGTCTGGCTCCTCACTCAGTGGGGAATCTGCTGGAGATTCTCTCTCCCCCTCTCCCTCTGCCCCTGCCTGCCACTCTCTCTAAAATAAATAAAACCTTAAAAAAAAAAAAAAATCAACAAAGCTGTGGTGAAATCTTTGCACATGTTATCTTTGGGCATCTCCCCGTTATATCCTTGGAATAAACTCCAAGAAGTAAAATTGATATGGAAAAAGGTAAATAATTTTTAAGTTTTGATAGGTACTGCCAGATTGCCCTCTACAAATATACCAATTTAAAGTCTTTCCAGCAGCATGGAGCATTCATTTTCCAGAACTCTTGCTAAGTGTTTCAGTTTTATCTTTGCTAATGTGGTAAGTGAAATGTGATAACTCATTTTAATGTGGTAAATTAACAAGTCATTTTCATCAAAAATTTTACCTTTGAGAGCCTTAAAAGTTTTGGGTGGGTGGGGAAAAACCACCATGCTGGGTAGGTATTAGGTAATAGTGATTAACTCATATCAAGTTTGTCAGGCTTGACTAGAATCACTGGGTGTTTCCCAGGACTGCTCTCATCTCCCTGGAAGTCTGAGAGAATGAGGTATGATTACAAGACCACCCACTAGATTGAAGCAAAGCAGGTTCTGGCTTTGGCTTCGTTATTAACTAGCCATGTCACCAAAACATTCTTTAAGCTTCAGTATTTTCATCCATAAAAATAGAGAATGTCTGTCATTACCAAGTTAGACAAACATTTCTCAAACAGGATGCATGGCAAAGCTCTCAAAACTCATGAGGCACCATACAAAAGGCAAGAGATAAACTTGGGAGCTCTGTGTCAATCTCCCTACACAACTGCTCCGTATTTGTTTAGCTCTCTAAGCATGTCATCATGCTCACCCTCTACCGTTGAATATACTTCTGTTCTGACTGTTGTCTGGTTCGGAGTTCAGCCACCTTTCTCGTTTTGATTCAGTGAGCCGATACCCTGTACTGTTTCTGGAATTCTACAAATTATTTTTGGCCTCAGTTGCCTAACTCTTCATTTGCACCTGACCTTCTGTGTCTTTCCATGCCCCCCGCAACCTGCCCCGACCCAGAAAAACACCGTATCTTCCTCTTCTGTTGCCAGGCTGTCTTTCCTTTCGCCCTTTCACTCCTGCAAAATTCTAAAACATGAAGAACAATCCTGCACTCAGGCAGTACAGGCTTATTGCTCCTGACAGAAAATACTGAGAAGACAAAAATCACCCAGAATTCCTCTTCCAGACCTTCCTAAGCATAAATACATAGATATATTTTATTTTTACAATTTAAAATTCTGCTGTTTTATGCTGTATTTCTCAACATACCATGATTTTGCCTGTATGTCAAGAGTTACACTCATATCATTTTCAATGGTACATAATATTCTATTACATGGTTATAACCAAATTTTGTGTTTTATTGCCTTTTTCTTTTTACATTTGATCTTTACCCATATGGAATTTGTTTTGTAT